CCCTTTGTACACAGTGTGTATCCATACACACCCCTTTGTACACAGTGTGCATCCATACACACCCCCTTATACACGGTGTTTATCCATACACACCCCTTTGTACACAGTGTGTATCCATACACACCCCTTTGTACACAGTGTGCATCTATACACACCCCTTTGTACACAGTGTGCATCCATACACACCTCTTTGTACACAGTGTGTATCCATACACACCCCTTTGTACACAGTGTGTATCCATACACATCCTTTGTACACAGTGTGCATCCATACAGACCCCTTTGTACACAGGGTCACACGGCATTAACTTTGCACATAAGAAACAGAGACTCTTCACTCCGGAAAGCTACCACTTCCCTTCATCCTCTCAGCACTTCCCTCTGGGGTTTTTCTACCCCTCCCCCACCCTAAGTTTATCACATACTTAGAATCATTTCACCCCCACTCCGAATCCTGCAATACAGACACCAGACAGCCATTTACAAGATGATCATCCAGGGGAGGGGCGAGGAACAAGCAAACAAGAAAATACCCTTCCCTGTCATTTTTTAAAAAATATTGAATTTTGGTTTTGGTTTTGGGGTGGGGAGTTGTTTTTTGTTTTTAGAATTTAGACTTTTACATGCTAGACCCAACAGGAAGAAGGAAGTCATAGAGATCTATGCATCCACCCACACACATATGTCCCTCCCCCTCTCCCTCTCTATCTCCCCCACCATACTCCTACACATGCCCATTGCCTCCTCATTCAACAGTCAGATCCAGGAGTCTCTTCCAAAGTCCCCTCCCACAGGGTCCCACTGTCTGATCCTGTGGACAGTAGTGGACTGGGGAAGGAGCAGAGAAAAGAGACAGACCCGAAGGGGCAGAAGCCTGAGTGTGACTGCCCTGACTTGCAACAGCCTCCTCAAGGATCTGGCACAGAATGGTGCAGAACAGAGCATTAAGTCTCTGTAGATTATCTGGGGACTGGATCTCGAAGTCCTGGCCAAGAGGGACACAATGGCAGGATCTTTGTGTTTCAGGGAGAAAAATAAAACAAATAAACTCTTTGGTGATGATCTTGATGATTCAGTATCCAGGTTTTTGAAATCAAGAACACAGGTAGATTTGGTTTTCCACTTCTCTCTACATGGTTGGCTTGGTGCAGAGACCATTCCCTCTCCTCACCTTCTCCCACTTGCTCTGTTTTCCTTGTCCCATAGTCTGCCTTTGCTGTTCAGCCATCTTATTCTCTGTATCTGTTTCATAGTCTTTGGTGCTCTGTTTTGTTTTGTTTTGTACTAAACACTAACAACGGAACCTAGAACCTTGTGCCTGGTTCACAGCACTCTGCCACTGAACCACATCCCTACATCTTCATCCTTCTTGCTTAAGCATCAGCCAACCCAGTTCCCTCCTGAAAAGCAAATATGGTTATTCATTAAATGTCTAAACCTAAATGGAAGACACTCCCACTTCTCGGTTCCCTTCCTTCTTTCTTATCTGCAAAAGATACATCCCAAGAGGTTACTTGCACGTCTAGAACCACAGACAATGCTGAATTATCTAATACACCCTATCTCACTTTTATACATGTATACTTCTGATAAAATAGAATCTATACAGAAGGCACAATTAAAGACCAACAACAGCAATTATAAAATAAAGCAATTATTATATAAAACATTATATTAGTAAAAGTTACTTCAAACTCCTCAATTTCTTTTTTTCCTGGAAATTCCCATTTAGTATTTTTGGGTGTAATAGATCTTGGGTAGCTGAGACAAAGGAAGGCAAACCGTGAATAAGTGTGCGGTTGTGGTATGTCTGTTCAGCAGTGTTCTGGGTGTGCATAGTATATGGTCAAAATTCTCTAGTTCTAGGAATCCTTCAGAACATGGCATCCTTCTGGTTAAACAAGACTGAGATTTCCTTGTAACTTTGGGTCACTTATCTGGTACCTGGGAACAGGGGCACACCGTCTGCAACATGGATGAAACCGGAGAATGGCATACCAAGTAAAATAAGTCAGAAAAATAATGAGTGGGTCCCTTGCTAGGAGGCACCTGGTGGAGACACATTCAGAGGTGGAAAGCAAGTGAGAGGGGGGAGGGGCAATGGTGATAAGGACTGGGTCTATAACAGGCCCACTATCTCAGATCTGCAAGATGAAAAGATTCCTGAAGGCTGGGTGGTGGCGCATGCCTTAATCCCCAGTCCTGTTGGCAGAGACTCTGTGAGTTCAAGGCCAGCCTGGTCTACAGAGCAAGTTCCAGGACAGCTTCTTTTTAAGAAACTGTCTTAAAAAAAAAATTCTGAACATTGCATGAACAACATTATTCGCTTAAAATAATGAAGATAGCCATTTTGGTGTTGATTACATTTTACTACAATTAAAATTTTAAATAAAAAAATGTTCAGCCTAGTGAACTTTCCATGAATGTGTAGGCTTGGGGCTAGAAGTGACAATCAAAAGTCACTTAACCTAAGGATTCTCAACTATTTATTGACTGGAATACACAATAAAAGCTAGATTTTATGGATGATCCAACATATGAATACCAGGCCAGGAGCATACATGTGTATTTGGATAGAACACACACACACACACACACACACACACACACACACACACACACACATATACACCTAGTCAAAAATACAGAGCTAAAAAAGGCACAAGAAACACTATCCATTATACGAGGTGTGTTCTTTTTTCCTACTCTGTGCTGTCTAATTTTATTTTTTTTAAATATTAGTTACATTCTACAAGATAGCTTTCATTATCCACTAGTTAGGTTTCAGTCCTGGTTCAACAGCCCTGGTCAGGATTAACCTCCACAGCAATACAGAGGTGTCCGGGATCGCTCTGTTGGATGGTCATCCAGTTTCCCCTGAATGCCATCAGAGATCGGGATCTCACTTTCCACAAGGCAGCAGGCTCTGGGATGAACCTTCCTAGCAGGTAAAGCCCCCAAGTCACTTCCCAGTTGTTCCAGATGTAACTGGGTGGAGCTGGGGAAAAGAAGAAGTCTGGGACCAGGTAGAGGAATCCAGGCAGCTGGGGAAGGGACCGAGAACACAGCTCTATCCACAAGGCAGGGAGCAAGGTGGGCAAGAGACAAGGGCAGGGGACTGGGAGGTCGTGGTTGTCTTCTGGCTGGGCACTGACCTGCCCCCTCTGCCTTTGCCTCCCTCCACTGCTGTCTTTATTTCCACATCTGGCGCATGACCTCATCTCCCAAGCACCCACCTGAGGGAGAACTCTCCTCCTGGAGGGGCCCCAGCCTCAGGGGAGACAGATTCCACCACATTCCATCTCTACCCTTTGCCCCTCAGAACTCCAGCAGGTCACTGCCAGGTCGTCCCATACGCTGTCCTCTTGGTGTTGGAACCTAGGGTATCCCTACCTGGGGGCTTCAGACAGGACAACCTAAGGTTGTCTGACCTGTCCTCTAAAGTATCCCCAAAAACTGTCCCGGTTGAGGACAGTGGGCTCCTAGACACCTGTGTTCCTGGGAGAAATAAAACAAAGCACTGCCACGTGGGGACACAGCTCTCTGCTGGACATCAGAGCTCTGGATCTCGTGGATGGGGGAAAGAGGGGGAGAAAAGATGCTAAAATTCCTTCCTGGGTTGGTGGGCTCACTGTAACTGATCAAGGATCAGAGAACCTGGGTGTGGTCCTGCTAGCTCCCCTTCTCTGCCTTAGAGCCAGTGGCAGAGCCAGTTAGAATTAGGTTGACCTCAGGGTGGGGCGGGGCAAGCAAGAGGGGATGATCTCACTGTATCCTTAAGGCGGGGAGAGAGAGAAAGTAAGACTGCACGGAGGTAGAGGAGAAAGAAAAGACAGAGCCCAAAAACAAGAACAACAATGAAAACAGGGATGAAAATGGCAAAAGCGGAGCTTCTTCAGCTAGAATGGGGTCTTCATTCCGAACAGCCTCAGAGGAAGCCGAGCTCCAGCAAACCTTCCTCTCTCAAAAGCAGAACATCTTTTATGCAGAAATAATTCAACATAAACCCCTGACATGTCCCTCTCATCTGGAATGAAAACGATGTCCAGAGCCACCATTGCCCCTCTTTAAGAGCCATCATTTTTGCCTCACCCTGCTTCTCCCCCAGGATTTGACAAAGTTTAATCGACTGAGTGAAGCCAAAGGCAACACAATAGACACCAAGCCCTTCGCTTCTCCCCCTCTCTGGCTGCTGTTTTGTTTCTTTCTTTTGTTTGAAAAGCCCTCCGATTATCCGCATCTGAGTTCTACTTACCTGCAGTCCGGTTTCCGAAGAGAGCTGCTCTCTTCTCACTCCCTCAATTAGTGGTACCCTGGGCTTCTCTCAACATCAGCACCACTGCTGGGCTCTCGCCATGACATCACCTCCGAGCTCCCTGATTGGCTAGCAGTGGGTTGCTTGGCAATTGGACGGTCTCCTCTGGTGGAGCAGGGATTGCCTGAGTGAGTAACTCTTAGCAGGCTGGGGAGTGGAAGATGATGTCAGACAAAGAACCTGCTTTCCCCTGCTGCCTGTGGGGCTGGGGAAGGGGGGGGGTGAGCATGGCCAGGAGGCAAGAGAGAGGGTGTGGTACCGTGAGGTGGGGGCGCCAGCACAGCTTGCAAGCTAGGGAAGAGGATGAATGACTTGAATCTTTAGCTCTTCAAATCTGGAGGAGGGAGAATATGGAATCTAGAGGAGCAATAGGAAGAACAGATGAACCCTAAAAATAGCCCCCCCCCCCCGCCCCGAGAACTCGATGGCTGTTCCCGGCTCCCTCAGAAGAACTGACACATGGGAAGCATGCTTTGTGTGGCGGGGAAAGGCTGCAGAGATCCCAGGTCCAGGAGTGAGTGAGGGCTCCAGCCTCACAGGTGTTCCCAGGAGAGCAGGGCTTCCCTCTGGCCTCCCTCAAAAACACTTTGCTCTGTCTCTTCTGCAGAATCTATCTAGCGCTACTGCATCCTCGCAGGCGACTCAGTCGGCCTGAGCCAACCAGAGGGAGCCACAGGTAGGAAATTAAACTGGAGACCATTACACCAAGGACACTCGTAAATGTGGTGGATTCCTAGAGGGCAGCGATGGGTCACTCACTGGTGGTGGTTTTCCTCAGGGACTCAGAGACTGAGGGGATCCTATGTCCAGATCCAACAGCTGTTCACACACTGCCTGTCAACTGTGGATGGGCTCAGTGGGAAGGACAAGCGCCCTGTGGAGCAAGACACTCCCTCTAAGTGCCTCTCCCTCCAAGCCTCTTGCATTTTCAGCCTCCTGGTCCTCGCACACTACCACCTAGCCTCACTTCACTGCCTGTTCTTAGAAGGGTGTCATACTTGGTTGTAAGATGTGCAAAATGTAAGACTTACTCTCTCAACTACTTACAAGGAGACCGTTCAGCGGCATCGTACAGCCGCCGCGTTGTGTAAAGACTGCCCATCTTCAGAACCCTCCCATCCCTCCTGACTTTCATCCATAATCCTAAGCCATAAATCCACCTCTCCCGACCGCTGTCTCCTACGTAGCTCAATGAAGCTTCCTGTCCTGTGCCCCTAGTGTGAGCAATCATGTGACATCTGTCCCCCTTTGGTGGACTTCCTTCCTTCACATGCTTTAATGTCTCTGAGGCTCATCCTTCTTAAGGAAGGTTTGTTCAATATCGATTGGCACTGGGGATCCCCCTCCTCTGCTACCCCTCACACTGAGAAGACACAAATCCCCTTGAATTCAGCTCAGGCCTGGAGGAGGTTTTTGTGTTTTGTTTTGTTTTGTCTTTATTTTCCTGTTGTTGTTTGAGACACAGTCTTGCTATGTAACCTTGACTGGCCTGGGGCGGGGGATTCACTGTATAGACCAGGCTGTCCTTGAACCCATAGAGATGGACCTGCCTATTCCTCCTTTTCACTGGTGTTGGGATGAAAGGAATGCACTGCCACGCCCATTTTTGAGATGAGGTTTTAACAACCATCGCATCCTCAAACACCTGAGATGGTGGCTAAAGCAAGCACACACATGTCACATGACCACTGTATAGACTGTCCTAGAAACTAAGCAGAGACTCTGACCCTGGTGTTTACCCCTCATCCCCCACACACACCTCACCCCCAACCAAGATACACAGGTTGGTTTCTCTGCTCCTCACCCTGTGCTGTTCTGCAAGGGCCCCTTTCGGACACACCTCTCCAAAGCTCCGACTTTGCATCAGGAGGAGAGACCAACCTTATGCTGTTGGGAGTGGCTAAGACAGGACCATGCCTGCCTTTGGTTGCAGAGCACATCTGATTGTTCTTTGAGGCATCATCCTCAGCCGTGTAGCCAGGGAAGACTGCCATCCTGGCTGAAACTCAATAAGCATCGCCACATGCCACAAGGACCCCCCAGTCTCCGGTTCAGACTCAGAGGCGTCCCTTAGCATACCAGACCAGGGCCCAAATTTAAGCAGGCCACAACATGTGGCTCCAGGGCTACAGTCTGCCCGCTCCCCTCCCCCAGTCCGCTCTTCCCAGCCAGAGGAGTTTGGACCTCCACACACAGATTGGCTAGTTCTGGAAGGGGAGGGAGGAAGGGGGAGCAAAGAGAGTGGGTTGCCATGACAATGGTACCCAATCAGATATCTGCTGCTACTAAAAGAGGGGAAGGTGGGCTTGGTCGCACTGCATGGGAAGGAGGGTGGAGAGAGGGAAAGGAGGGAGGGTAAGATGAAAAAAGTCAGGTCATCGCTACCCAAGGCAAAGAACAGGGGTGGAGAAGGGAAGTGGATGGAGGGCTGCTCCTTTTCTAGAATTATCTAACTAGTGCTCAAGTGACAGGCTATAATGACCACACCCCTACACACACACACACACACACACACACACACACACATACACACACACGTGCAATCACTCTGTAGGGGATAATCCACATCATGTATAACTAAGACACTTCAAACAGTGCACCTGTTAAGGGGAAAGGCCTCCATCTGGATTTTGAGGCACAGAGAATAGAAAAATGGTGTTAGAAAGAGAAAGGTATGCCAGATAGAGTCACCGCCAGGAGTCTCAGCGAATGGCTGAAACAGAATGATAAACAAGGAGAAAGACTAGGTTGTTGTAGGAAAATATACCAAGCACCCAAGTCCAAAGAAGGCCAAGGCCACTAAAGAAAACAGCAGAGTTTGAGCAAGGAGGTTTGCAGGGTAAGATTGAGGCTGGGGACTTGTGGAGAAGGCTGGCTGGAGACTGCTCCTCACACCATTCAGCTGAGAAAGACAGGTCGCAAGAGACTGTCACTGTACCTGCCAAGTCAGCTTCCCTGTGAGCCAAAGACCAGGGCAGCAGGTGGACCTCAGGCAAAGGCCGCAGGGCCCAAGATACACAGATCTGCACCCTGGTCTTTGCAGTGCCACCTGTCAGAGCTCAGATTGTACATGACAAGGACTCTCAGCGTCCAGATCTCCACCTGCTACCTGGCTGCATCCTGGAGACCCTGGTCATTTATTCTGAGCCAGGAATCCCACGGCAGGTGCCTCTCAGTGAACTGAGTCACAGCCCTGTCGTAGAAGAGTGTGCAGTCACCTCTGTGCTCAGCTGGGGTAGTTCTGCTAAAGATCCATGGGGAACTTGGACCTCTTTCAGTGCTCAGAAAATAGGATCTTAGCCTTACACGAGAATTCAATAAACCTGAAACCTTGTGTCCCCTTGGCTTGCACCAAGTGCGGTAGCTAAAACTCTACATCGTAAGTGGGCGGTGTTTGTCCTCCTTTGCTTACAAGGAGGCTAAGCCCTGAGGGTGTCTTCATGCAGACTTTGCAGAACTGGATGTTGTCAGTGAGTGTCTCAGCGTGAGTAGCAACATGTCCATATGATGTCATTGTTAAATGTGAACGCTTGTCTCACTGGAAGAGAATCTGCTCTGACTCATGAGCCCTTGTGACACTTTAGAGTCTCGTTCAGCCAGCAGAGACACAAGCTCAGTTCCTTCACCTTGAAGCCTTGCTGGATGGCAGGAGCCACTGGTTTATGCAGACTGCTGGGTTTGTAAACTAAGTCAGAACAGTTCATGTTTATAACAACGCAGATTGTGTTTATAAAAACTGCTCTCTTCAAGGAAGCTAGGACTTGTGTGTCACGGGGGACAGCACCTGGCACAAAGCATGGCCTCAGGAAATAGCTCGTGGGACTGTCCTTACATACAGAGCAGATGAACCATGACTATTAGGCCCACGAGAAACAGAAACTCACTTTAAACCTGCGAAAAACACACGTACACATTTTTGTTAAAATTTAACAGTAGACTATTTTATTATTAAACACACAGTCCAACTAGAACGTGAACAGAAACTACTAAGATATAATTTTTAGTGAAAATATACAGACCTCTGGTGTATTGGTTGCTTTTCTGTTGCTTTATAAGACACCATGACCAAGGCAACCTACAGAAGAAAGGGTTTATTTGGGTTTACGGCTCCCGAAGAGTAGAGTCCATCGTGGCAGAGAATGGTGGCGGCAGGAGCAGCCGTGAGCTCACATCCTGAATCACAAGCAGGAAACAGAAAGCAAACTGGCTTTGGAACCTCAAGCCTTCCCTTCCCTCAGTGGCACACTTCCTCTATCAAGGTCACATCTAGAACAGATTTATTTTGTGCTGCTTGGTGGGCGGGGAATGTCCACACACAACTCACACAACTAAGTGCAGGTGCCCATGGAGGCTGGAAGAAGTTGTTGGATCATCTGGAGCAGGTGTTATAGATAATGGTGAAAACTCAGATCCTCTGCAAGAATAGCAGATGTTCTTAAGTCTCGTGCAGTCTCTCTGACCCTGCACATAAACTTATTAAAACAGCTAAAGTTGATGGGCGTTGTGGTGCGTGCCTGCAACCCCAGCATGCAGGACACTGAGAAAGGAAGACGCTGAGTTTGAGGCTGGCCTGAGCTAAGTAGAGAGACCCTGTCTCCATACACTGCTGGTGAAAAAGTCAAATGGTAAAAATTCCTTCAGAAACAGTTTGTCTGTTTCTTAAGTAAACACACATTAGCCAGAGGGCCAAGCAATTGCACTCTTGGATGTGGTTCCCAGAGGATGGAAAATAGCATTCTTGTAAAAGTATGACTTGGAGTATTTTTATACCTTGCAAAAACAAGATAATATGCTTGGAAGTTTCCTTGACAATAGCCTCAAAGCGGAAGTACGATGTCTTCAACAGGTGAAGACTAAGCCAACCGTGGGGAAGTCGTCCCTTGGACTGCTATTCAGCCCTGAAAATGAATAGACCATCAGCACAACTTGAGTGGATCGTTAGGGGACGATTTGAAGGACCCCTCGTTTTAACCACAGTTATACCGTTTTGCAAAGGTTCACAGATAACTAGCTCAGGACCTCCGGAATGCTGAGCAAATAACAGGCTTAATTAAGGGCCTCCGGAATTCAGGGCCTCCGGAATGCTGAGCAAAGATACCTGAGGTTAGA